TGTTCATGTTGCCAAGGCTGGTCTCAAACTTCTGGGCTCAAGTGATCTCCCCTCCATGGCCTCTCAAAGTGCTGGGATTACAGACATGAGCCACCATACCCAGCCAAAAAATAGTAATTTTTAAATGACCATATAAAACTTCTGCAACATTTATACCATATACTCAACCATCCCTTAACAGTCACTTAATGTTTTGTCTTTCAGAAAAAAGAACTTTAGGTTAGGCGCAGTGGCTCACACCTGTAATCCTAGCAGTTCTGGAGGCTGAGGTGGGTGGATAACTTGACCTCAGGAGTTTAAGACCAGCCTGGCCAATATGGTGAAACCCCATTTCTATTAAAAATAAAAATAAAAAAAATTAGCCGGGCACGGTGGCATGCGCCTGGAATCCCAGCTACTCGGGAGGCTGAGGCAGGAGAACTCCTTGAACCCAGGAGACGGAGGTTGCAGTGAGCTGAGATCGCACCACTGCCTGCACTCCAGACTGAGCAACAGAGCAAGACTCTGTCTCAAAAAAAAAAAAGAAAAGAAAAAGAAAAAAGAACCTTTTAAATGATTACCTCGAAGTTCAGCAGAAATCCTTATTGACATTTTTAACAATTGCCATAATTCTTTTATACAGCATCCAGTTTATTACCATGACTACATTCTTGGCTGTGATTCCCACAGTCACATTTCTGAAAATATCTCATATGAAATGACAAATGTACTATATGGTGAAGTTCTGAAACCTCTTTCCAAGCATCAACATCATGTGACCCAGCAGACTAGTTTCCTTTAATATTAAATTAACATACAAACCTACACATCTACTATCTTGTTTCTGTTCAACAAAGCAGGTGATTTTCAAGGTATTTGTACACAGATGCTCTAATCCTACACTATACAGAGGAGAAATAAATCTTTCTTCTGTGAATCCTTTCCCCCCTCTCCACAAACATCCCCCAGTCCCTAATTTATATAACATAATAAACAATGTCAATACAGTCTAACAATTAAGAATGTAGTTTTGGAGTCCAGCTTGAAAGTGAATCCCAACTCACCCACAATCTAGCTGTAGATTGCCATGGACAAGTTTCATGTACACAAATTCCCTAAGCTTGACAGAGGTTATTGTGAGGATTAACTGAAATCCATGGGAATCACTCAGCTTACTACAGGACACTAGATAAATTCTCACTAAACATTAGCTATTGTTATTGCAGTATCTTAAAGAGAACTCTAGAATAACCATTAAACCTTTACAGTCCATTTATGTACTACGTCTCATCCAGTCTTTAATCTTTCCTCATCTTTATATAAATGAAAGCTCCGTGGCTGAGCACGGTGGCTCACACCTGTAATCCCAGCACTATGGGAGGCTGAGGCGGGCAGATCACTAGGTCAGGAGTTCGAGACAAGCCTGGCCTATATGGTGAAACTCCATCTCTACTAAAAATACAAAAATTAGCCAGGTGTGGTGACGGGTGCCTGTAATCCCAGCTACTCGGGAGGCTGAGGCAGGAGAATCGCTTGAACCCGGGAGACGGAGGTTGCAGTGAGCCAACATCGTGCCACTGCACTACAGCCTAGACAACAGAGTGAGACTCCATCTCAAAAAATAAATAAATAAATAAAAGCTCTTACCTTTTTATACTTGTAAGTATCATAGTTAAGTGTGAATTCTGTGTCAAAACTATCTGAAATACTATTTTTCTTTTTTTTTTTGAGACAGTTTCGCTCTTGTTGCCCAGGCTGGAGTGCAATGGCGCAATCTCGGCTCAGTGCCATCTCCACCTCCCAGGTTCAAGTGATTCTCCTGCCTCAGCCTCCCGAGTAGCTGGGATTACAGGCATGTGCCACGATACCTGGCTAATTTTGTATTTTTTAGTAGAAACGGGGTTTCTCCATGTTGGTCAGGCTGGTCTCGAATTCCTGAGCTCAGGCAATCCACCCGCCTCGGCCTCCCAAAGTGCTGGGAATACAGGCATGAGCCACCGCGCCCAGCTGAAATACTACTCTTATTAGCTACGTGATCTTGGAGCACGTTACTTCCCCTCTCTCTATGCTTCACTGGTAAAATGGGCATAATATATCACACAGATAACAATTATGTAAATGGAATGAAATGATAAATATAAACAATAATATAATATGTTTAGAACCATTTTCCCACCTAGTAATAGCAATTTATTATTATTATTACTATTATTATTCCCCTATGCAAACTTCTTCAAAGTGGTATACAGTGGTAACTGTACCTGCCTCTAATACTGTACAATTTCTAAATCTTCTCTCTTCCTCCCTCAAGCTTTTCCAGATTGATCAGAAGAGCTGCAAATAACTCCTAACTCCACTCTATCTGAACTTAGAACTCACATAAGAACTTTTAGTGCTGTCCAGCCTGATTATGCATTCTTTGTTTCATGTTTACATATCATCTTCAAAAAAGAAAAAACAAAACGACACATTCCTTGATTTTTATATCATACTAACACAACTATTTATGAAGATGCCAAGTATTAAACAGATCTTTATTAGTCTGTCTTAGCAGTGTTTTTTACTATACATTTTAAGTTTACAGAAAATGGATGTTCCAAACTACACAGCACCTGCACAGGACCAACACATAGGGCCTATCACTATTGAAATCAACTAAAACTGGGCTTACTGGACTATGAATGTATTTATTAGCTAAGAATATAAAATCTATTAAGCTTCTAATAATTCACTGTCATGTAAGAAATTTTATAAACTATAGATTTCTGGACAACTTGACAGCACTAGAAATGACAAACATAGCTTCTGACCAAATCTGTAGCATTCACTTATATATATTCATATTCACATATATATATATATACACACACACATATATATAAATGAACAAACACAATTTAAAGTTTTACTTACTCAAATTCTGTAGCATAATATTTAAGAAAGCCCAGTAAGAGGTCCCCAAGGTTTGATTCATTCTTTGAGAGGTAAGGAGGAACATTACATGGAGCTTGATGTACAAGGTGCAGCTGTATAGCAGGACTAAAAGATTCCTGTCAAAAAGAAGGGGAAAAAATGTAAAGCCATTTAAAACAGACACTAAGAAACTTTATAAATCCTGAACTAGACTCCTCTTTGAAAAAGAGAGAAGAAATTTTCTCTGCGTTGGCAATTTGGAAACCTGAAATTTTTCTTCCACTAAAGACTTCACCAGTATTTGCAGTAGGCCAGAATGTACCTGAAAAATTAACAATCTAATCCTTGGCTTGAGTACAGCACTCAGTTAACCGAACAGATTGCTATTTAGCAAAAGATTTTCTAACTCATAAATAAAGCCTTACTATGCATACCAAGATTCTACCCAATACCATATAGATTTCTTCATAAAGGTTATCTCATTCTTAATAATTCCTACAAGAAGCAGTATATGTATAAAGGCTATATCAAGCACAAAGTAAGAGTTTTTTCTGTCACTTCAAACTTCTCTCAAAGGCCATAAGAGTACCCTTAATATAGAAATACTACTTATACTAATTTTAAGATTTTATAAATTTTGCTTTGTTTCTGTATCTTAGATGGAAGAGGAGATGTTCAACCTGAATTAAGCTTGAAAAGACAAAGAAGGCAGAGAAAATAAGATAGGAAGCATACCAACAAGCAATATTCAGCAAGCTTTTACCATAATATTTATAAAAGAGGATATCATTTGCCTGAAATCCAGGAACAAAGACACCTATTAGAAAGAATACTAATGGGTACTTATCCTGTTTTCCTATGTTATGCCATTCATTTTCATATTCATCTTTCCTCTATTAACAGCAAGTTCTGGCTCTCAAATATACTAAATGTATTATATAAATTATCAAGTCCATTTATATACATCAATTAGAAAATAATACAAGATAATTTGCACAGTGCCATCAGGGATGGTTTTCTGTATTTCTCCACTGCTGTCAGAACAGAAATGTTAAATTAGTTAAGGCAGTAGAATGACAACTACAGTTAAGATTCCAAACTACCTATTTAACCCTGGGCTTATAGATACTAATGTAATTAAAGACATCTAGATAATGCCAAGTTAAAAAATGGAGAATCTCCGGACGGGTGCAGTGGCTCACGCCTGTAATCCCAGCACTTTGGGAGGCCGAGGCGGGCAGATCACGAGGGCAGGAGATCGAGACCATCCTGGTTAACACAGCGAAACCCCGTCTCTACTAAAAATACAAAAAATTAGCCAGGCATGGTGGCAGGTGCCTGTAGTCCCAGCTACTTAGGAGGCTGAGACAGGAGAATGGCATGAACCTGGGACGCAGAGCTTGCAGTGAGCTGAGATCACGCCACTGCACCCCAGCCTGGGAAACAGAGTGAGACAAAAAAAAAAAAAAGGAGAATCTCTGAACAATGGTAGTAGAGAAATAGCATAGTGCATCATTTAATGCTAGTGTCCCCAAAATATGAATAAAAACAAAGGAGCAAGAAAACAAAAATACCTCCTCCCTTGTTCCATTACCTATAATTCTATCAATAATTGTTAACTACCAAGAAGTGATTACCTTTCTCTTGGAATAAAAATTCTATTCCAACCAAATTCATAAAGTTGATACTCCTCAACATGGGACTTTCCCCTTACATTCTAACAGCTGTAGTATTAATTACATTTTAAAATGCAAGTAGAAATTTTAAAAAGAGGAGGGTGTAGGAAAGAAACCTCAATTAGTAAAGACTAAAGGCAGAAGGAAGCACAGATGCAGTGCCTCTATTCCCCTGTAACTCTTACTCGTTAGGTATAAAATTGAACTTAGGGCAACAATATTTAAAATTATAAAATTTAAATGTTATTTTCTGGCAAATCAAACAAAAGGTATAATGTAGATCAAGTAAGTACGTCACTGTTTAATAGCTCCTGCTCTGAAAGCTTCTTACTAATTTTGATTCCTAGCACCACGCACAATTAGCATTCAATTTGTGAACTGAATATGCTAAAACAGAAGTCACTTTCTTATCTGAAGTTTAAAAAATGATTGTACCTCCTGTAAAATTTTTATTTTGTTCAATAATTTAAAGAAAAAGGTCAGCAATTATGACATTAAGAACTGAAGAGTCATGAGATCCACTCCATTAAAATGCTGAATGACCTCAGACCAACAATTTGGCCAGTCTCCTCTTAGCTCCACTGTTCTTTTTCATGGTCATACACAAAAAGAGTCAGGTCATGCTTATTGAGGGAGAACTGAAGCAGAAATCCAAACCAAAACTAAAAAAGATAAGGACACCTAAAAGCAGCTACCAGTAAATAGTAATTCTATCTATCCTTAAGAAATCCCCTAAGCCAGGCATGGTGGCTCAAGCCTGTAATCCCAGCACTTTGGGAGGCTAAGGCAGAAGGATCAATCTTTGGACAATGAAGCACTTTCTGAAATAAGTTAGACTGGCTAATCTTCTATATGGAAACTGTTCTTTCTTTAAAATCTTAAGTGAAAGATGATCACTTTCCATCTCCAGGCAAACAGAAAGAAATTTAGGTGATCATCAAATAAAACAAATTAAGTATAATTTCACGGCAACACGAATTACGAAATCCCTGAGACCAGGAGTTTGAGACCAGCTTAGGCAACTTAGTGACACCCCATCTCTAAAAAAAATTGAAAGAT